GTCTTGACAGTCACTGCAAATGTTCTACCCTAACATTTTGACAGAAATTATTCACTTCTCAACACCTGCTGGAGGAGCAGTTAGTGCCGATGACTTCCTTCCTTGTTTCATTTATGTTGTCTTAAAAGCAAATCCTACAATGCTACATTCCAATGTTCAGTAAGCACTATCTACAATTTATTTACATGTGTGTTAATTCATTGTTGATATCATTACATGCGAGTGATCAAGGAATCCGAAACTTTTTATAGGATAGCTATATCCTTTAAACCAAGACAGGTGCACTTCAGTTTGTATTACATGCAATGTGGTATTGAAACATGTGTTTTGTCAAAAATTTGAAAATGGTACATTAAGAGATTTCCATACTTACTGAAGGTGGGAAATAAGTTGCTTTGTCAAGTCTTGCATGCTCAGTATATTTCTTGATTGAGAAAAAAAGACATTTTTCCATTTCAAAGGTTTATGAGACAGTGTGTTTTTTTACCAGGTATATCTCCAGATTTTGCAATCCTAACAAACTAATGATGGGAGAAGCTGGATATTACTTCACAAACCTTGTAAGTGGAACCTATGCATAAAGCAATGATCCTGCACAAGTCCCTTTTATAACTGATTTATACTGGTTCTTCTCTTACGCGTGTAGTTCAAACCTGACTTGGTCTCTGGGTCGAAAGGTGGGGGTTCAGGGTAATCGGTCAAGTTGACCTAAAGTCATCTCGCTTAAAATCGTGTCGCCCCCGAACCTGAGTCATGTCGCCCGAAATAAAAAGTTCAGTCATCGGATGAAACCGGGTTCGAGACGTAGCGGGGTCGTTGTGTTGTGTTCTCGGGCGAGACACTTGACTCTTATAGTGCTTTTCTTCACCCCAGGAGAATGAACTGTCAGGGAAAGCTGATGAGTACCTTGGGGATACTTTGCAATGAAGTAACATCCCACCCAGTGGTACTATAAATAATGATAAGCTCCAGACGGATGTGCCACTCAGCTTCAGTGCTGACTTTACCTTTGTACCTTTTTTGTTCTCACATTTCCATTCTTTAATTTCTTTGTCAGTGTTGTGCTTTATCGTTCATTGAGAAGCTTGATGCTCAGGCATTATCCATGTCTCAGGAAGAGTTTAACAGGTAGATAATCACCTTCAGGAACATTTGTACATTGCACCAGATCACTTTCGTTTAATTTTCCAGTTTTTGCATAGTTGTTTTAAACAGAGACGTTCGGAACTCTAAAATTATTTCTGCCATAGTTGTTTTTAGATTTTAATGCAGACTGTATCAAACGTGAATCTCGGGGTGGTGTCTGATGCAGTACTGAGGGAGACGCCATACTTAAACCTCAGCCAGACTTATTGAGCCGGGTATTTAAACAAAGTTTACCCTTTTTTTTTTTAATAAAACCATATTCTAAACCATCTTTAATTTAGCCGAACCTTTTATTCGAACAGTTATTTTTGTGAACATTGTCAAGAAGGCCGAAAGCTAACAGTTGGTGGGAACGCATATTTTTGGATTGTATGGCGCACTTGTTTTGGGTCGTCTGGAAGCATTTATACTGGCTTTTTTAACATGAAAAAAAAGAGCAACAATCGCGCTGTTCTGTGAGGTTTATTACTCACTTATTATATTTGTAACTACACTGAAAGTTACAATATCAAGTTTGTCGAAACTACTTCACTTGTAAGTTAACTTTCCTCTTTGGTTTAAAGAAACATGTATGGGGATGAAAGCGACGGTGCAGAGCAAACCAAACCTGAAGCGGAGCCTCCTGTGACATGCAAGGGTCTGGAACTTATGAAGGTTAATAAAATCGCACCCCAGGGTTTCAATAAAAGTTGGTTACTGGCGGTCTACTCCCGCTTGTAAAACCTCTTACCGATGTCTGCTTAGCCCGAGAGCAGATGCCCGGAATGCTGAAAATTACATTTCCAAGCGTCTAGATTTCAAATTGTTTGTGGGGGAGCATGCCCACAGATCCCCTTAGGGGAAAGGGGCCGTACAGCTCATTTTTCGGGCACAGCCAGCATCGGCTGCCGCTCATGGAAAACGTTTTTGATATCCCTTGCATTCCATTAGTACATGTGTGTTCATTAGTTTATCCATGGTATGTGTAAATGACTATGTAACTATGTACATGCATTCTATCATGAGCTTGAGAGAAAATGCAATCAACTTGGCACGTTTAACAACCAATCCTGAAACTTTGCTTGCTTGTGGCAGTTTTTGCCTTTCTTTCTTCTCATTCTGTCTGATTTTGATGGACCTTCAGCTTCGGTCCCTAACCTTATTTACCTCTAAAGTTTTTTTTAACAATCTCGAGCCCCGAGATTTACGTATTGGTGTCATTTACGTATTGTTTGTCTGTTTGCCCTCTCAGTCCAATTTAGAGAGGCTTGGCACTTTGAGGGAACGCCAAGTGAAGCTTAAGGAGGACGCTCTTTTACTACAAGCACAAATGACAGAATTCAGGAACAACATAGTAAAGGAGGTAAAGTTGAAATTCCTGCAATTACAGATATCGTTTTTTATTAACCATCCTCTCAATAATCAGTTACTGCAAGGTGCGGTGGTTTTCAATCGTATTGTTGTGGTTGTTGTTGTTATACTTATTGTTCTGATTACTCATAGCTAACCTTTGATGGTCGCTACTGCCATTGTATTTCTGTAGGTTGACGCTATCTTAGCTGGAACAAGTAAAGGAAACACGTATCTGAAACCAGTCTTAACAGCAGGCGAGCCGCTTGAGACAGGTGTGACTGCGAGTTGATCTACCAAACAAAGATGTCAAGAACATTTGCAACTGAGACTTGAATCGGCGCAGAAAAGGCGCATCGATCCTGATAAACGGCGAAATTTTTTCACATTTTCCACACCTCCTTCCGTGATCATAAAAATACTGTTTTATGCTATAGTTAAGATATTATGCGCGCTGTCATTGGTCGATGGGTTTGATTACGTGGGATTATAGATGCATGCGCGCATATTTTTTGCGAACTATTTTCTGAAAATAATAGGACTTTTATTTCGTGTCTACAGAAAGTGATTTAGACATTCGGGAGGATTAAGAGAGTTCACAAAATGTAAGCAAGTCTTTCATTGCATCTCGAGTTCACTTAATTTTTCTCGAATTCTTTCAACCTCTCTCTCTCTCTCCCTCTCTCCCCTCTTCCTGTTGTGTTTAAATACACCTCTGTCGTTATGTCTAGATACGCCTCTGTATTCACGGAAAGAGTCCTCTATTGCTTAAATAGACACTTGCATGCAATTGTACATAGTACTTAATTTTGTTATTATAATTAACCACTGAAGACAGAAGATTCGGGGAGAAGACGATCTGAAAACTGTACTGAAAAAGGAGTTACTGAGAACAAGTTACATAAAATACCACGAACAAGTTTTATATGGAAATTATTTAGTTATATGTAATGCAAAAATTGCTATTTATACTTGCATATTTCAATAAATTATATATGTCTATTGTTTTTCACCCCAACTGCAATGTGTACATGATATTTACAATCGAATTCATTGTAGTGTGTTCAGTCGAATCTAAGTTAAATATGACTTTTGATATTCACATAGGACAAGAAATTAAATCTTGCATGAGATTGGAAAGTCTGCGCTCTGCGATCATTTGGGTCAGGATCTGGCTAGGATTGCTGATTTTCTTTTGAAATGTTGTACTATTTCCTCTGTTTTGAAAATCTTCATATTTTTTTAAAAAAATCAAGGATCAAACCTTTCTACATGTCGTATTAGAAATCTGTACTAATTCGCCTCCATCATTGGCCATCCTTACAATATCTTAGCTTCATTCGTCCCTTCATAAAATTCCATGAGAGTCTGGGAAAAAGAGACTCTATTAAATTTTTATGCAACAATGAGAACCTGTTTGGTTCACATACGTTACTTCACGTTTAAATTAAACCACGAGCATTCTCTCTGTTTCGGCGAAGACCGTCACGCGAGTCAAAAAGAGTCGGTGAAAAAAATCTGATGTCAGCCTCAGCGGCCAGAGTTCTGCGCGATTCGCCCACATAAATTTCTTGTTGTTTTTTTTTCCTTTGGAGGGACTGCGTAAGCAAACATAGGAAAGAAGAAGTTTAAGGAGGGATAGTCAATTTACTGCTGACGAGGTTAACAATATCATTTCTATTTCTTGTTTTAATCTTTGGAAATACGGTCATAAGGAACTCTGTTCCTCAAATTTTAATTAAAAGTTAGATGTAGGCTTGCTTTCAATTACTCCGATCAGTAAAAGGTCAAGACTTCCGAGCTAAGTTGCGCGCTGCCGTCCGATATGACTTCATCCCCTTTATGAATAGCCTTTTGTATGGCTAACATAACACTTTGAATAAGCAAGAATTACACCCAGGGTCATTTCGTGTCAAGAGTTTTGGCTGCTTGTGTTTAAGCTTGAGTAACTTTCTGGCCGGCAGGCTAGCGGGCTGCAAGCGGCGTGCCTCAGGTAATCCGCGGCTGACCTCTGCTCGACTTGTCTCAAATATTCCCATGGACGGAGAAACGTTCGTCCTGCAGCACTAATAATGAAAGCTGTTCGTAGGCCATGAATTTTCAATGCAGGTCTCCTGCCGAGCACCTGAGTAGAGATAAAACATCTTTGAAATAGTTATTGGCGTGAGCGCCAGTCAAGCGTATCAAATGCTCTCAGGGCCGCGGACTCAAGTACTACCCGCTCTGAAGTCTTCGTCTGAAATCTTAATAATGATAAGTTTAACACAGCACGTTGGATTTAGCATTTTTACCACACATAGCACTGAAATAATGAACTGACCGAACTACGCAAAAAAATTAGTCTGTGAGAGGAATGCCGCATATTTTTTTGTGGGTCAAATTTTGAAAATTGCAGGGCCTTTACGCGAGTTTGTGTAATAGTTCATTTTATTCCGTCTTATTCAAAAAGTTGTCCCTAAAGTCCACCTGTTTCTCAAGAATCGATTTTGGGCGAGGCGAGTAGAAGGGCAACATTTTGTCAACTTCCTAAAAATGATGCTTAACATCGCGTGACTTACCCTCTAAATGATATTGCTCAATAATTTGCTCTCCACGTGACTACTTCCCGTTCGTAATTTCAGTGAGGTAGGATTTCGTAATCCTGGGAAAATTCAGATAATGAAAGGCAGAAAACTCGAGTGAGCCGAATTTATGTTGTTGCAAAGAAGATTTCTGTGTTGTTCTGAACAATTAGTTTTAATCCCAACAGGCTCAGACAGAGGAAAGAATGCCATAAATTTCAGGACAAACAACTGAACGGTCCCGAATCCTCCTTAATAAGAACTTTTCAGCAAATAAATAAAATGGGAAAGTTTTTGGTTTTTTATTCGAAGCGAAGGTCAAATTCATGACCTTGATGACGACAAGGTGTATCTAAAAGATGTTGCAAAATCGTTCCAAGAGCAAAGGATTATTACTGAGAGGGCACGTTTAAATCCTGTTCGACCTTGTTCAGAGAAAACAGACGTACTCTTTGTGAAATAAACGCCAGTCAGTTTTTTCAACGAATTTTTTCTACTTTTTGGATGGAATAGTCTGTTCTAGAACCGATCTGTGACGCAGAAAAAGTGGATCGCATACTTTTGCGTGGGTGACGGGAAGCTCTTCTCAGTCTCGTGCTCACAGTCACGCTCACCACAAGAGATGTCGTGACTCTGCGCTTTACGATAGAACGATAGATATGATTGGATATCTTCGAAGGAGTTATTCTGTATCAACGAATTCCATTGGCCACTTAGCCATCAAATAACTTTATAATGGCGTCAGCTGATAAATGTAAAAAATTTGACTTTATGATGTGAGCGGGAGAATGGTACATGTGCAGTAGATTAATGTCGAAGGAAGAAGAAATTTTGCTCACCGAAAAGCAGTTCTTACAACAGAATATTGTGGAAGGTCTCTTCTTTTAACGACTAAAGCATAATAAGTGCTTCGTACTTAAGGAAGACGTCAGGGAATGGCTAGGTTGCGGCAGACGCCGCCAGTATTCAAGGAATCGCCATTGCCGTGCGCCCCTCCGCCAAGCCCTGTGTTGGGTTGTCGTCGGAATCTTGGTTTTGCGGTGCTTTCGTCGTCTCCAGAGCTGCAAGAAACTCAGGAAATTGCAGAAATGAATGATTCATTAGTTGTTGCACTGTCAAGAATGCGAGTGGAACAGTCCTCTTTGAAGAGAAAAAAGCACTCTGAGCACGAACTTCCTCCGGGACTTGAAAACCACGATCGAGCGCAACATGAACAGAAAAGAGCAAAAAATAACCAAAGACAGTCAGGAAGTACATCACTGAAAAGGCAAAGCCTCTTAACTCAAAGTTTACCTACGGCCGCTGCGAATACTTCATTTCCTGTTCCAAGTACGTAAAATTTACTTTGGTGTCCGTGAACAAGTGAAATTTCGAGCTTTCATCTCTGAGAAAATGTTCCCTGATATGAAGAAGACTTAAATTTGCAAATACTCTTTTTCGTGATCGATAACTCATGCTGTCATCTGACTAACATTTTATCATCGGAATATGTAGCATTTATTTTTGAAAATAGTACTCTCTGAATTCGTCTTGCTTTCAGCGGCCACCGACAATGACTGATGTTTTGTGGCATAAATTCTTGACTATCGAGATTTGAGAAGTACAATTATATTCACCTCTTTTCTTGTCTCGACTTCACTATCAAATAGTGGGTAAAATGTACATGGATATCTTTTGAGAACAATTTAGAATGGAAATTTTACAAAGAAATTAAATGGCTATAATCGGAAATATATGAAATTCTCGAATTTTTCCTAAAATTTAGGAGGAGTTGAATACAAGATGGCGTTTGCTTGATTAAGCTCACCGAAAGCCTGTCTATGCAGGGTGAAAACATGTATTCGGTAAATATTGTAGATGAAAGGCATATTTATATATTTCTTGTAAAATTATTTTAATATGAAAGTAACAAAATATATTGCTGTATAAAATGTATAGGTACGAGGAAAGATGTATTTTATGTTGTAAGATAAATCCACAAGGGGAATATTTGTGTCATTAAAATATGAAAAAGATATGAATCGTGGTTTGAAATTTCATATCGAGGTCATGGTCTATTCTGCTACCCTGCCTGATATCTGATTATATTTATCTGTTTTCTACTAATCTCAAATCTCCTATCCTACATCAAATGACTTAAAGAAAAATACTTTTCCTGTCTTTTGGCTGATTGAAAATGAAAAAAAAGCCAATTATGATACATGATAATATTGGTTTCTTATAAAAAAAAATGTTTTGATAGTCTTAGGTATTTCAAAACTGTATTCATGCTAATTGGGGTCATTGTTGGAGTGTCTTCTTTGCAGAAAGTATAAAGCACTATTTTCCTTGAAAAATAATTGTTGGCTGTTTTCTATGCATGGGCAAAACATCGGTATGGAAAAGGCTGCATTCATCTAAGAAAAAACTAATGAAATGGGTAAGGCATAGATACAGAGTTTCCTAGACACATTATGAAATGTGTGTGAAACAGCTTTGGAGTACAGAAAGAAAGCTGGCAGTAATTAGATTGTGTAATCTGCCAATTAATAAACAGGAAAGGAATAACAGGAATAGGTAAATTGTGGAACCTATAGTAGATTTGGTAGAGAACAATCAGGATGTTCAGTAGACAGCAGGAATCAGAGTTTCCTCTTGTAAGATTTTTAATGTTCAGCTTCTTGGGATATAGTAAATTCTCTTGGTACACTACTCTTACCACTCTATTTCTCAATAAAACCCCCCTGAGCACTTGATTAGAGTAGAGATGGGCCAAGGGGGGGGGGGTCTTGAATTATTGCAAGGACGGAAAGAGATTGGTTGCAATCCTGCAATGGCCCCGAAAACAAGAATGAATGAGTAGGAGAATTAAAATTAAGTTTCTCATTTTTTCCAAATACTAATCCACATGTGAAAAAAGAGTAACTAGATAAAGGTGAGAGAGTGGAAGTAAAAGGGACTAAAGTTGTGGATGGCAACAGACAGTTTACAAATTCCACCTTCTTCTTTAGAGATCCTGATTATAACTCACCACAACTATCCTACTGCAAGTGGTACCTTTCACAATAACAGTTACATTTTTTGAACGGGTCCTTTTCACCACTTATAAAGCTATGTCAATTATCTGCTAAGGACCAATGCACTGAATCAGCTTATACTTTGAAATAGCATTTTCATTATCAATTTATTTCATGTACTCTTTGACTGATCTTATTCTTATCTTTGCAAACTTGATTTTAAAATTTAATTGTCCTTAAAGAATTGTTATCCTTTTAACCCTTTAACTCCCAAGATCTCATTAGTAATTCTCTTTACTGTCTGACATACAATTCTTATGATGTCAATTTGGTGAATTTGGTATTGGATTAACTAATAATCTCCTTATTGATATTTTACTTTAATCTCATCACTTCTATGCTTGATGTTGTATTGATAATGTAAGGAGAAATTCTCTCTTGGTCACTCGTGGGGGTTAAAGGATTAAAACAAGATCTACTTTACATCTTCTACCCCTGGGTGTGCTCAACTTCACTCATTCCAACATGCCTCTTTTCTACATTTCTTTTTTTTTTAATAGATTCTACTCACTATGCTCTTCTTTGCCAATCCACCAATTGAAATTTTTCTTCCCTTATCTACTAGTGTACTCTCATGAAATAATTTAATTTAACATATCATTCCACTACTATGGCTGCAGTTAGAATTCCACAATGGAAAACTCTTGGGAGACAACATGCTATATTGGGATCAATGTCAGAATCTGAGCAAATGTATACTTACCCTTCCATAACCCAACAATAGTCAACTGATAAAAAGTTCAGATTAATATTGAGTTAGGGGAGGGGTGGGTGCACAGTTGCTCAAAAACTGACATTGATCCCTGCACAGCAAATACCACTGGGAATCAGGGAGGGGGGGACTTTGTGGGCAGTGGTGTTATAAATAAGTTTCTCTTTTTTATTAATTATCATAATTTAAGAAGTTGGCAGTATTCTGCTACTTGCTTGTCATCTATTGCTCCATAAATACTGTTGTATTGGGCATAGGTCCTCAATTGCAGCACTGCTAATGTAAGAGAAATACCTTCAGATTACACCTCTTTCCCTCTTAATTGTGCATCCATTAATTTGCCCATGGTGTTCATGCCTCCAATCAATTGTCATAAAACAATCAAATTTGTGGAACTGACAGAGCTATCTAGAGATCTAATCTCTGATTGACAATTATTGGACAAGCTGGTTCAACATGAACATAAGTGAGAGCTAAAGCTTTGACTTACCTGCTTAACAAAACCAAAATCAGAGGTAAATAACTCAACCCAACACCTTGATAACTGTTTCTCTCATGCAGAAAACAAAATCGATTGTTGTTTTCATTCTGTGCAAGAGAAGATTTGAAATCAGTATCTTACCAAAGTACGGTAATAATATAATTATCCCTATTCTATTGGTGCAGTTAGACATTGGTAAGGTTATAATATTTTACAAAATATTTGGTAACATTCTTACAAGTCATGCTTAGTGGTATGTTCATTATGCATGATCAAAGCCACAACTTGCCTTTCAGTTTATTTTGTTTCAGATTATTTTGAAGACTATCAAGAATCTGATGTGGACAGAGCTGCACCTCACAGCCCCCCCTGACCCCTCTCCTTCAACTCACCAATGGTATTATACTTGTGCAGCAATAATTTGCTGCTAAAGCTGAGTCTACAATTCCTTTAAGGTGGTTGGGCTATGATCCTGCCAAGGGCTTAATATTTACTTAACCTTCTCTTCGTAGAAACCAGGGGGAGTCCCATCTGAAAAGGGGAGGATCCTCATCTCCTTGCTTTAGAGTGTAAATTTTGGATTTCTGTATCATCAAGGGTGCTGATCAGGGCAATAAACCATATACATTGAGCAATCAAGGTCTCTTGGGGTTGGTCATGAAGACATGTGGAAAATGAATATCTTAATTATCTAATTCTAGAAAGTCAATATCTAATCAAAGCCATAAAAGATGTTGATTTGGTGTCTTAAACTGGTCTCTTTTAGGGGCTGTATTTGTCATGCTGCAGTGCTCAGATCCATCCTCTCTTGCTGAGTGTGGTTTAAAATTCTCAGGGTGAATCACTGTCCCTTTAATGGGGAAGTCCTTGCCCCCCCCCCCCCCCCCCCCCCCCCCCCCCCCCAAGAGCAGGTGGGGGAAGCAGAATATTTTTACTACCCACAATCTTGTTCTATCCACTTTCTTATCCAGTTGTAAATTCCTACAGAAATCTATACTGTCACCTTCCTTCTCAAATGAATAGACATTCATGCCTTATGTGTTTCACTTGAGGGTTCCATTTCAAACTGGCTTTGTGATGTTGTCCCCACTTTTCCATTGTGAACACTTCCCAGCATCAGCTGTTACATACGACAAAGTTTAAAATGGCGGCAGATTGTAGACAATAGAGGGATCAGAGAAGGATCATCATCACCACCTGTTGGGCATTTTTCCATTTATTAGCTCAAGGTATGAGAGGCCTTATTGTAGAAGAACACATCAAATAGTTTTTAATTAAGAAGCCTCGTAAACTTTTGTATAGCCATTCCACGCAAATAAGGATCAGCTTATTGTTTTTTTTTCGTGAGATCTTGCTTCATTTCGAATTATTTGCGCTGCGGAACTCCACATTCTGTTCTCACGTCATTTAACGTCTACCGACTAATTTCTCGCGCCCACCAAAATATTGTGTTCAAATATTTCTCACTCAATTTTGACCTGTTTAATCCATAAAAATGATCACTTTGAATAAACTAGAGACTTGGAGAGTGGGTCCTAGAAAAAAATTAGCAATACCAGTCATGCATGTATCAGTCCAGTCGCAGTAAACCTGTTTATTCAAATTTTTGTAGTTTAGGCTTCATGGAAACATCCGGCTATATAACCTAATTTTTGCTATGATTATGTTTGTTAATTTGCCTCTCGTTTTACAGAAATTGCTCAGTGTTGGTGTATGAGTAGCAGG